GGGGTTTGGCTAAAGGAGAGTGGGACGGTGGGCGGTGCTCGGGGTGGTGACTGAAGTCAGTGACTGTGTAGTTCTGACGTCAACTTTTTACGGAAGTCACAATGGTTCGTGAAAAATCACAGCTACTTTATGCAGGCTGTGTGCATTTTACTGTGGACTGACTGTTTTGAAACTTATATGGTAGTTAAATAGCCCCTAGACCTCAAGTTATCGTGGAAAAAGGAAATTCCAGGAAATTTCAGTTTTGACAATATGGGACCTTTGTATATGTTTGGTATCATTTAAAAGTAGCATTAAATTGAGCAAAAATGACAGTAAATACATTTATAATGTTCCAAAAGATTTCTATTTCAAATAATTGCTGTTCTTTTGAACTTTCTATTCATCAAAGAATCCTGAAAAAACTCACAAAAAATCACAGTTTCCACAAAAATATTAAACAGCACAACCATTTGCAACAGTGATAAAGATTTCTGAAGGATCATGTGACACCGAATGAATAAATTACATTTTTAATATGTGTATATATGCTATCTCTTATTTGCTATAGTCAGTTATTTTTACTCTGGACATTAGAGGATGATTTCCCATTTTAGATAACTGTGGTTGATTAATTGAAAATTCAATATCCATTTTGTATTATATAATGCTCATGCAAATCACTAAAAACATAGAGGGAATATTGTGATGGATTTAGAACCATCCCCAATATGGTTTTACTGAAGCGTTTTAATCTTCTGTAGAACAAAGTGACCTATTTCACATCAGCTATGCTTGAAATGAGCAACCATGGCTATTTTATTTATTTATTTTGTGTGTGTGTAAATAAGAGTGAGATGGTTTATAATTATTGCGCATAAGACTTGCTGATAGATACATGCAAAAGCATGAGTTGTGATTTTGTCATTCAGCATCTCTTAACATGATTTGTTTCTATTTGTTGTATTTCTAAATGATATGTTTACTCTAGGTGTCTTAAATGTAAATAAAATCTCTGTCTCTCACATCTCGGTGTGTAATTAGGGTCTGTAAGCTCTTTGTGAAAATAGGATTTGTTACCTTGTCACTGGGGCAATGGGTGATTTCAGGTGATCCTCAAGTTTTGATTTAACACTGATATGCACATACAGCTATATCTATGACAAAACACATTCAACATTGTTTTTAATGCACTTATATAATACAGTAAGGCAGCTGCCTGTCTTCTCTTGAACACAGCAGTGAAATCAATATATGCCTTGAAATATAAATATATTTCTTTGAGCTTGTGATTTAAAAAAAGTCTCCAATTAAACATTAATTCTAAGAAGCAATACGTTTTTTCATTAGTAGTTTATGACATGAATGTACAACTCCTCTCTCCATCAAATGCACATGCTCACATGAAAATATAATGTTTGTTTTTCTTGAATGAAATGGTTTTAAGATTGTTTTCTCTTTACTTACCAGATTGCTGATGTGTAGGAAACTGTCTTCACTTTGCAGTCCCCAATAGACCTTTGTTCGCACCTCAACTGCCCTCTTCACGCTTAACGTCTGACTGTGACTGTATAGACCAACACCAACAGATCAGATAACAGTCTCATCTCTCTCTCTCTCCCTCCCTCTCTCTTTCTCTCTCTCTCACGTTGCTCTTTTCCGCCCCTTCTCTTTGCATCCCTCAACACACACATATTACCATTAATCACCTTAAGAGGATAGGACCTCTTAAAAAAAAAAACATCACAGCCTCTTGGAAGGCAAGCTGGAAAGCTTATATAACTGGGTTATAATAATGAGAGTGGACTGGCGAAAGATTTAGGGTATTTGTACAGACTTTAAAAGCTTTGCAACAGAGCTGCTTGATAAGACAAGCAGAGAGGGTGACTCAGGTCACACATTCATACACCACTGTTACAGTTTCACTGACAGAATAGCCTCTTATTTGAATAAATAATTGTTTTAGATCAATTATTGGAGAGATTGTAACAGGTGGCTTTTAATACATTATGTAATCCCCAAACCAAATCCATCTATGAGATGTCCATCATCATAATGTGATGCGGCAGTACTAAATGACCAACACAAGGTCAAATATACAGTTTTAAATTCTCAATTTCTCTGCATTTAAAATTTTATAGTTATGTGTTTGAGTAGAATGTCATTTTTGTTTTATTCTGTAAACTACTGATGAAATTTATTTTTTAATTTTTAAATAGAATGTTGTCATTTGGAGCATGAAATGACAATTGGTCAAAATAACATAAAAGATACCATGTTTTTAGACATGTTTATATTCATTTTTAAAACACAATACCAGTGTTTTAACTTCAGAAGAAACTCTAAATGACTATATTTTTATTTGAAAATTGGAAGTAATGTTATCACAACTTTGTAGTATAAAACAAATATAAACATTTTACTCAAACACATACCTAGTAAATCTAGTAAATTCAGAGAAATGTCAGATTTTGAGTAGCTAGTTTTTTTCCTCCAAGTAGACTACATTTTGACATAGATGACACAAAAAGCATCTATTGCTTCTTAGTCTAATCAAATAGTCTAAGCAATTACATATCTGATTTACTAAAGCCAACGTTTTAAAAAGATAGATTCAAACAGGCGAGCGCTCAATCACAGTGTGCGCAAGTGTTGCGCAGAGCTGACGCACATGAGCATGTTTTTCATTTGCTGACTATTGTCATGTTAAACATTTTCGGTTGCTAGACGACAATAATGCACATTACACGCGTACAGCGAAGAGAGACGCAAAACGACGCTGAGGCTGAGCAATATTACTGCGTTCACACACAATATCGACGTAGGATCTGCTGCTTTTCTTAACGGCGACGTCAGGAAACAGCTGCATCTTGGGAACTTCTTAACACCCCTTACCCATTTCAGTGCTCCTTAATGCTGTTTTATATTAGGATTGGTGTGAATATTCGAAATGAGAAAATTAAGATTTCCTGCTGCATCATAATACTCGGACATTAAAGGTCGTGCCTCCAATAGCCTATATCATACTGAATGAGAAAGTATTATGCTTCTATTGTTTGTAAAAGGCGCTGATAAAATAAAAACAGACCATCAGATAAGCTATAATGTCTGTAGTAGCCGGAGAAGTTGTCACTGAAGAGGAGGTAGAGGATCTGGTAAGTACATTGACAGTTTTCATAGATGTTCTGGACTTTAACACTAACAAAAATTACCATGCAATACCATGTTTTTTGAAGATGGACTATGGTAATGCCTTGGGATACCACCTCATACAGAAAGCTATGTAAATACCATATCATATGAATATGATAATCATCATTTAGTAGCATAGGTTATATTAAAGTTTAATAGTATTACCATTTGATATCACTTGGTAGTATTTTTTGTTTATTTTAATGTATATATCATTTGTTTGTTTTCAAGGCAGAGGACAGTCTGTGTAGCAGCTATGTGTCCGACACTGAAAAGGTGAGATAGATCATTTTAAATTAATTATTTCTTTATTTACAGATTTTAGGCCAGTCTGTCTCCTTAGTTCTGAAGCTCTTTCATTCTTGGACCTGGTATTGAGATTGTTGGATTTCTTTTCAGAAATTAAGAAAAAAGAAAGTTTCAGGCAGACCACCTCCTTCTCCTAGTAAGTTTAAGACTTCTGTTGTAGTTTTCATGCCTGCAACACAAATGCTACCACCCTTTCTGTGCATTACTGTCTTATCAACACAGCATTGTAAAAATGTGGAAATTGCTGTATTTGCTTATTTCATTGTAGAGTACTTAATGTAACTACATACACAGCAAAAATGCCTTTATAATAATACATCATTTTATTTAAATAAAGGGTCACCATATCTGAACAGTGCAAGCTTGCATCTGAAGAGAACTCCAGTAGCATCATGGAGGACAGTGAAAGGGACACAGCTCCAAAACTGTAAAACCCCCCCGGCTGGTACACCGAAGGACGTCTGGCTGCACTTACAGAATGATGGACATGGTCTGTCCCTTTAAAATAATAATAATAATAATAATAATATGTGGTTAACACTTTACACCATATTCTGCATTTTATCATTTTAAATTATGTCACTGAAGAGGAGGTAGAGGATCTGGTAAGTACATTGACAGTTTTCATAGATGTTCTGGACTTTAACACTAACAAAAATTACCATGCAATACCATGTTTTTTGAAGATGGACTATGGTAATGCCTTGGGATACCACCTCATACAGAAAGCTATGTAAATACCATATCATATGAATATGATAATCATCATTTAGTAGCATAGGTTATATTAAAGTTTAATAGTATTACCATTTGATATCACTTGGTAGTATTTTTTGTTTATTTTAATGTATATATCATTTGTTTGTTTTCAAGGCAGAGGACAGTCTGTGTAGCAGCTATGTGTCCGACACTGAAAAGGTGAGATAGATCATTTTAAATTAATTATTTCTTTATTTACAGATTTTAGGCCAGTCTGTCTCCTTAGTTCTGAAGCTTTTTCATTCTTGGACCTGGTATTGAGATTGTTGGATTTCTTTTCAGAAATTAAGAAAAAAGAAAGTTTCAGGCAGACCACCTCCTTCTCCTAGTAAGTTTAAGACTTCTGTTGTAGTTTTCATGCCTGCAACACAAATGCTACCACCCTTTCTGTGCATTACTGTCTTATCAACACAGCATTGTAAAAATGTGGAAATTGCTGTATTTGCTTATTTCATTGTAGAGTACTTAATGTAACTACATACACAGCAAAAATGCCTTTATAATAATACATCATTTTATTTAAATAAAGGGTCACCATATCTGAACAGTGCAAGCTTGCATCTGAAGAGAACTCCAGTAGCATCATGGAGGACAGTGAAAGGGACACAACTCCAAAACTGTAAAACCCCCCCGGCTGGTACACCGAAGGACGTCTGGCTGCACTTACAGAATGATGGACATGGTCTGTCCCTTTAAAAAAAAAAAATAATATTAATAATATGTGGCTAACACTTTACACCATATTCTGCATTTTATCATTTTAAATTATGTATCTTCTACCAAACAAGATCTTCTAAATATGTTTACGTTATAAGACCCAAACAGACAGCAGATCTGCACAAGATTAAATTTTTGCTGCTCAGAAACTGCATCTAGTTTTAAAGATATTTAAACATGACTTACTGGAAAACTAGACAAAATAGCTGATTATCACAGGATTCACATTCAGGTAGGTAGGTAACCTTTTTGCTCTTTTAATACTGGATCAGTAACTGAGAAACACTAGCTCAGGATCAAAATATATAGCTTATATGTTTTTGAAAGACAAGCAAATGTAATTTATCCATATAAAGCCTGCTGTATCATATTTGAAAAATGCCTCTAAATTATCAACATGATCAAAACTTTAATGACAAACCTGTTGTACGCAATCTAATATATGGCTTCTCTGCTTTCATTGATAATTCGTACTTGATCATCCATAAATCATGTTAAAATGTGGTAAATCAGGTTTTTGAGGAACTTTTATTTGTGCATCTCTCAACTATCATTGTTTTGCTTTATTTATGTTTTGCCCCCACAATGTAAAACTACAGGGCTTTCATAATAAAACAAAGCGTTTAAATATCTGTTAGTAGTCTGTTATACTATTTTTAAAAATCTAATTAATTTACATTACAATATTTTCATCTTAAATTTATAAACAACAGCGACCGCACCAAATTGGATATTTGGCTCTGTTTGGGCCTCTGAATAAAATCTAGATGTTTTTTTTTCCACCTCAAGTGTGTGAGCTCCATAATCTCCTATATAATAATATATATTAAATTTAAAAAAAATATTTTATCTAAAGTTTAAATAAACCGTTCCATTTGAAAAAATTTATTCCTATATGAGGCTTCACAGGGTTCAATTTTCTTTACTTCAGGGACATTGTCAAAGTCTCTAAAAAGAGCGGATTACAGTGTCACACAGACCAGCATCTCCATGACCAGCACACCCGAATACTTGAAGGAGGCCTTAGGAATGAAAAAGCCAAAATATTCCCTCTCTTCATCCAACGGTGAGCTAAAACTCAATATATAAACCTGACTTGTCCACATAACGGTTATTATGATTTTTCTTTTTCTTTTTCTTTTTGTCTCCATGTTGTTATTTTTGCAATTCCTTTATCAGGTTATGTTCCAGGGACCCCAGACTACAAAGAGAAGGAGGAAATGTATGATGAAATAATTGATCTAAAAAAGGTGAAGTTCACCTCTCGCACACTCACTCGATGACGTATAAGTGTTTTTGAGGATGTGTTTTTAGAATTTTGATTACATCAGACGGCATGTTTTCAACGAATTGGGCTTTATCCAAACTCTCATACTATCCATCCTATATGTGTATGAGGGATTAGTGGTTAGGATTACTATGTCCCAAATTATAATTAGCTAAAAATAGTATGCCAAATCTTCCTGGATGGTCTATTATTTTTGCTGGATTTTAGGAAATATATCTATGCAAGGTTTTTGAGCTAATATTACCCACAATGCAAGTGGAGGAAATGGTTCTTAAGATGTATTTTAGTATTGCACAGTTTTATCTATTAAGATGTGCTTTCCCGTCCTAGAATGTAGCTTTCCTATTTGAAGTGGAGTTATGCACACTGAAATTTCGTGTACCCATGTGTTTGCTCTCCATTTTCTCAGACCATCCGATCCCAAAAGACTGAATCGGACAAGATGAAAGCCAAGCTACGGCGTCTTGAAGAAGAAAACGCTAAGAAAGACAGACAAATCGAGCAGCTGTTGGATCCAACGAAGGTGATGAGCAAGTCACCTTTTTGTGTAAATGAGTAGCTGAGTGTGAATGCGGCCTGTTTCACACCACACGCATAAACAACACTGTAATGTAACTGCAAAAGCAGGCTGCCATTGTGCGTTCACACTTTGTAACTGAAAACAATATGATTTTTTAAATTGCAAACTTGATTGTCATGAAATCTAAAAAGCATTATTTACAGGGTGGAACATTATCAGACGTACACAGTCGTTCAAAAATCTGGGCTCAGATTTTAAAAGAAAATATCAAAGAAATTAATACTTTTATTTAGCAAGGATGCATTAAATTGATCAAAAGCAACAATAATGTCACGCCCATGGACTCTTTTGTGTGTGTTTTCCCTCCCCACGTGCTCCATGACCCAGTTTTCTCCCATGTTAATTGTTTCATTAGTTCCAGGTGTTTCTCGTCATCCCCTCCTCTAGTCCTGTGTATTTAAAGTGAGTCCTATTCAGAGTTCCTTTGTCTGGTATTGAATGTCGTCTTTCCCCGCTACGTGTGTGTTCCTGGCTCCCTTGATGTTTATTAAAGTCTGTTCGTTTGAAGTTTACTCCACGTCTCCTTGTTCCTCGCTCCGTGCTCCTCACAGTAGCGGCAACGTGACAAATAAAGACTTTTAGGTTGTTACAAAAAAATCTATTTTTACTTCTATTTATCAAAGAATCCTGAAAAATGTTTCACAGTTTCCACAAAAAAAATTTATATTAAGCAGCACAACTATTTTCAACTGTGATTATAAGACAACATATTTTTTGAGCTGCAAATCCGCATATAAGAACAATTTCTGAAGTATCATGTGACACTGAAGACTGGAGTAATGATGCTGAAAATTCAGCGTCACCATCAAAGGAATGAATTATGTTTTAAAATGTATAGAAACTAGTTAATTTCAATTGGAATAATATTTCACATTAAAGTTTTTACTGTTATTACTGTTTTTACTGTATTTTTTTTACTGCAGCCTTTGTGAGCATAAGAGGCTTCTTTCAAAAACATTTACAAAATATTACTGACCTCAAACGTTTGAACGTAGTGAAAATTAAAGCGGTTCTCTCAGAGCTTAGTTTTCTAAAAACTGTTCATTGCTAAATAATTATTTTTGTGTTGATCATATAGGACCCAGAGTATGCTAGAGGTTTAGTGGACAGAAAGACTGATCCTAGATCGGTGAGTATGCCATTATAAACATCTCACAAAACCTCACAATCACATTTCATCAGATCAATGATTCTTAATTTGATGCATGAAATAAAATGAAAAATGTATTTCTCTCTTTTTGAACACACCAGATCATTAACGGACTGAAACAGAGGATTGTACGATTGGAGCAGCAGTACAAAGAAAAAGAGAATGCCTTAAGGTCTGATGCCAACTTCATTTATATTGTGCTGCCATGAAATTAATCAGGTTATGGTGAATCAATGCAGCATGAATAAACGTCACAGCACTTCAGCATAAGAGTTGCAGTCTAAGAGTGCAAAAATCTTAATAGATATTACAATTATTTAATTTAACCTGAAAATAAAATTTCTAGGAAATTTTAGGATTTTTGAATTGTAAACTTCTTTGTACAGGCTTTCAGATATTTTTGCTTGCATTGAAGGCTGGATAATTAACTTCTCATGACATTCTTGTGAAAGTCATGAATTTTCCATTTAAATTTTCACTTGTTTTGTCCGTTTTTATGTCGATAAAAACTAGAGACTTGGACCCCAGTGTATGTTGAATCTAAACTGATGAATGTGTGTTTGCCATTACAGTCAGCTTCAGAGTGACCTCAAAACCACCAACATGCAGGAAATGAAGATCACGGTAGAAACCTACTTTGAAGAGGTATCATATGTGACTTTATATAAAACTAAATGTATTTCATTATAACTTTTTTTTTTTTATTATTTCGGGTAATAATATGTTCTTCATTCTTAGGTTCAAAGATTGAGAGCACTTTTAGAGTCGACTGAAAGAAGGTACAAACATTGTTCATTTTACTTTTAATTTGATGTTTTTATTTAGTCTTTCTCTCACTCTCTTTTTCTCTGTCCAGTAATAAGGCAGAGAGCAAAAACATCAGGGGGCAAAACAAGACCCTTAGTGCAACGGTTCTGAAACTCACAAACACTGTTCAACACCTGGAGAACGAGAACCAGGAGCTCAAAAAAGAATTGACACAGGAAGAGATGAACATGATGGAGAGCCCTGCGTGCCGGGCCAAGGGTACTTACATTTACAAAAGCACATCTTAACTTACATCTACAGTAGAACTGGAAAAAACTATTTCAGCAAACGTCATTTATTATGGACAGCTGCTGAAAAAACTCGCTTAAACCAGCCTAAGATGGTTAACTGGTCTTAGCTGGTCTCCTGACCTGGCTAATTTGGTGTTTAACTTGTTTAGCCAACCACCCAGCTAGTTTCCTAGCTTAAATGTACTAAAAAATAAAGTTTAAACAAAATATTTAGTATTTCCTGCACCAAAGACTGAATTCAGTCATATGATGTATCGTATTTTTATGTTTGCAGGTTATATGGATTGGAGTAAACAGAGACTTGTGCGACGAATCCTGGAGCTTGAAAAGGTTTTTTATATATATTTATATTTCGGTATCTGAAATAAATGAACTTTTCCACGACATTCTAATTTATTGAGATGCACCTGTACATGTACATGCATGTATGTATGTGTATGCATATGTGTTACATTAAACATTACTTGTAGAATGTACGTGTGAATGTAGTTTATTTGTCTCATTTTTTCAGAGAGTCGAGCAGATGAAGAATCTTCAGATCACCAAAGCATCAGACTCACTGAAGAGCCCAGACAATAAAGGCACTCAGTCAGAATCGGCCAATCAGAGTGATTCTGTCAACACAGAGATGGAGCCATCTGTGATTACAGAGAATGATGCACATTTGAGGGAAACAGTTAAGAAACTTGAAGAAGAGAAAAAGGAACTAGAGGGAAAACTAACCCAGAAAGAGTGAGTGTACTCAAAATATCACGTGATTTTTCAGAAACCACTCTTAATATGCTGATTTGGTGTTCAAGAAACATTTTTATATT